GTATATATTTGTACATACTTTGTTTTCATTCAATAAAAAAATAGTTTTATTGTTTTACTTATAGCAATTTCGTATCTGTAAACTTATTGTTACCTCTTAAAGTAGGTCAACCAAAGCCTCTTTACGAATATCATATTAAATGGATAGGCGTGTCGCTTACCACCAGGCGCACAACTTGTTCGTCCCACCACATTAATGCCGAAAGCCAGTACAAAGATATATAACAAAAACACATAGTAGAATTTCGACGGCTCGGTAACTGGAACCGTCGCTCAGTTGGTACAGAGCAATGCTACGGTGCAGCATGGACGTGGGTTCAAGACCCACCGGGTCGACGAAAAAAAAAATGTTTTCTATCTGTTCGAGTTTTGTATTCGTAAAGGTTTTTAATATGCCTTATATTTACAGAATAATTGTCTGGGCACACTTAACGAGTACAACCTATATAACAGGGTCTAATACCAGTTTCACTAGAATCGAGAGTACTAAAACCAAGGTAAAAACAACGGCCCTTGCGACATCCCGTGAAAATGGACGTACTGTCATTTTGTTTACCAGAAATGTAGCAGGTATACGGAAGGGCAGTATATTACTATAATGGGAGGGCAGGGCGTGACCCTCGATAAGATATTTTTCTATTGTATGTAAAGGTCGAGCTCCTTGTGAAAGAGTTCGTCCAGGGAAGTGCTACCACCTTACCTATTTCTGCCGCCAAGCAGTAATAGGAGCATTACTGCGTTCCGGTTTTGAAGGGTAAGGTTGAAATGACAGGCACATGGGATTTGTCAACTTATATCTCAGGGTGATGTGCGCAGTGGGAGTGCCCCTCAGATCTTTGCAGTTTAAAGGTCTGAGTGTCACTGCAACTGTTATGGACAGGTGTGTCGCTTACCATCAGGCGCACGACTTGTTCGTTCCGTCACTTGGTGTCATAAAAAAACAAATGTAAGTATATTTACACACCATTTTACAGAATTTTATTTATTTAATGCTGTATATATATTTGAATAATACTAGTATAAAGTATACTCCTTTTGACAATTAATAGATACAGTCGTTTAAACTGCAAGACTAGCGTAAGTTTTACAGGATACTGTGGTATTAACGTCAACATTTAGCTGGATAGACAGAATATCAATTCCTCCGGGCTATCTTGTGCTTTACATGATTTATGACAGGCAAAATTGAGTACAAACCAATCATGTGCGACCGTACTCAAATTCTTCACAGTATCCTATAAAAGTATATGTAATGAGTTGGCTTAGTATTCTTTCCGCTTAAAATAAGTTATTAATAAAACAATCTTTAAATAAACATTGAAAGATTGAACTGCAATTGAGAGCAGTAAAGATTTTATAGCCCCTATATCCGAACCAAAATTAGAAGTCTGTAATTTATAGCGAAGCGAATGTAGCGAATAGATTCGTATTAAAGACCCGAACACGTAATTTAATACTGTTCTTGGAGAGTGTTACTTTATAGCTTTAGGTTGAAGTTTCTAAAACTTTCCTGAAAACAAGCCTTAATTACGTACCCACTGTACGTCGGGAATGTCAGTTCAAAAAAGATGGAAACTTTCTTTAGGACATCAACCTTCTTCTAATATTAACATGAAATAAAGGATTACCAGCAACTAATACATTTTCGCTGGCTATGACTACTGTTTTTGGTTTCGTGTCCCATAAATAGCTTCTCCACAAGCAGGGAAATCTTGGGCTTAGAGGATTAACACTTCACTGGTTATCCAGTTACTTAGGTAATAGGAGTCAAAGGGTAGAAATTAAATGTCTGGTCATCATGTATGCCATAAACAATACAATTGCTTTAGTGACTTAATGAGAATTGCTTTAGAATTGTTTAGCTGCCAAAATGTAGATGATCATAGATTTGCATATATTGCGGTAAAATATGAGGACTGTTTTATTCTGCATATTTGTACCACCTTCTATAAACCATGTTTTATGCAAATAAACATTCATTTATTCATCCTATGATGTAGATCGTAAAGTAACTTTTAAATAGAATTGTAAAGTCAGTACAGTCATTTCAATAATAATGAGAAGAATTGACTTTTTTTTTGACGTACTACGAATTGTAAAAACTGATTAAGAAGACGCCGATATTATAAAAGAAAGTATTCCGCATCAATAATAAAATTATTTTTAGAAAATATGCTGATTCTTTTCTTAAGTAGGTGATTGTGAATAGGGGCAACGTTGTAACTCACTTGTCAGTAAGCATCAGCACAGCGTCTATACTAATAATAGAGCTCTTACCTATTTCTGCCACCAAGCAGTTATGTTAGCGTTACTGCGTTCCGTTTTGGAAGGGTAGGGGTAAATTACAGGCATATAGGACTTGTCTACTTATGTAACAGGGCGACGAGCGCAGTGGCAGTGCCCTTCAGATCTTTGTGATTTAAAGCTTCGTCATGGACAGGCGTGTAGCTTACCACCAGGCGCACGACTTGTTCGTCCCGTCACTTGATATTATAAAAAAGTTAGTAATAAGTAGTAATAATAAATAGTGGTTTTGCATACGGGCATTGTCACAAGCGTACATAGAACAACAGGCTCAGTATGGACGCAATACTGATGCGTGCCGCCAAATGGGGTCCAAACCTAAACAAGAACATGCCATAAATCACATGCCTTACAACAGAGTTTACAATTAGCCTGCTCGACAACATTGTAAAGCAGAATCGTTTCATGTGTTTCTGATTGCCGTCAATACCTCCGTTATAAGTTCACAGTGTTGAAGCCTTTAGGTACCGCGTAATACTTTTGTTATTTATAAGTTGTACTTGACCGTTTGGGCCGTTGCACAATTTGCTGTATAATTCAAAACAGTCATGTACTTTACACGGTTGTTAAAGCTCACTGCTCAAATACTCTTTCAAGCTTTCTTGAGAACCGCTGCTCTACATTTTTCGCTAGCGGAGACAAAGCAGTTTTTATAATCCTCCTTATGGATTTACGCCGTGGTTTCGGTAACAGGGATAAACACAGAATAATAAATACAGTAAACGTGGTTAGTTAGCGCCTGAAGCGTGCCAACATTGGGTCTCCTTAGATCAGCTTGAGTTCAGTCCGCCATTTTCGCTTTTACTTTAGCCACATTTTGTATGGTATGGTTGAGTCATTATTTCACGTAAATTCTTTAAAGTCGTAGAAAAATTCCTTATTGTGCAATTTTCTAGTGCAAAAATGATAGCTGCACTAAAAATATTACCCGTAGTAGTATTTCATATCATCAGTAAGTCGTATTTTATTAAATTTTCAGTTTATCGAAATAATTTTTGTTACAGGAAACGAAAGTAAAGCTTATATCCCTGCAATATTGTCACTTCTTTTATGGAGAACTAAATAAATAACTCTAATTCATCGTCATTCAGCAATCTGATAGTAATCAAGGCCTGAGGCACTTCCATTGTTTTTTCTTCCGTGGGGATAAATATCGAAAGTGAGATAAGGCTCAGTGTACAATATTCATAAAATGTTTAGAATTCATAATGACAAACTGACTACAATCTTTGTAGTCAGTTGTTGGTTGCAGGCAGCCAAGAACCATAAATTACGTCATTGTTTTAGTTAGGTCACGATCTAGTAAAGTATGTAATATATCATCCCTAATGACACTTATGAGTGTAATTTACAATGTTTACGAAATGAATTATTTACATCACAACATAGACCATGTAATTCTGTATCGACTATGTAATAGTACGTTATATCACAAGGTTGGTAAGTAGACAATTTCGAATAGAAGACAAGTTCAAAACCCGAGACGGAGGCGAGGGCGTCAATGGCCCCAACGTTTGTAATGGCTATTCCTGTGTGGCATGATGTTTTTCGTCAAAAGTTTAAAATAAAAGGAAAATTAGACTTAAAAACGCTACAGTTCATTCATATTATATTTACAACATTTTGAGAATCTTAAAAATGACGTAAAAAAGAATAATGTTTTTAAGTATTAAAATTTTATGCTTTGACTTAATGTATGAATGTAATAAAAAAGCTTTTAATTTTATATGTGCCGTGTACTAAAGCTCACTGAATGTATAATAGTTTAAATAAATAAAAAGTCTCCTGTTTTTTGAAGCCTAGTCGGCCGCTTGTCAGTGCCCCTTAACAAAAACGTTATCGTATGATAACCATGTATGATAAATACCACCTAGTTTTGCTGCTGCACATTATACAACTTTATTTACGACCAAGTGTGATGAAAGAACTTTTCCATTAAAATTGAAAGTTACATTCATGTTGCATTCATTCCTGCTAAAGGAAGATATACCTACTCCAAGTGGGAAGATGGGACAATCATATTATAAAGAAATACTTTAGCCATCAAATCATAACGCCTACATGTCCATAAGTAGCACAAGCCCCTAAACTTTTATTTTACTTTTTTAAGCGCTTTGATGCGCATCGATTCAATCGCCTATAAATCCCAAATGTAGAGTTGCAATCGCACGTTTGTATTGATGATGTTGCGCGCTTGCATCGCTGTTAAAAGTTGTCGTGTGTAATCGCTCTAAGATTGTCTATTATATATAAAATTAGAGCTTTAATCCTTTGGGCATGTCGACCTACTATGTGTTTTACGTTACATTTGACAAGATAATGTTGCAGTAGTCTACATGTGAAATGTGAATTTATAAAGACACTGTAGAGAAAGAAATCCAAGAAACAAATTTATTAACCGGTTTCATTCACACAGTCGCATCCACATATAAATAAACAATTTGTCCACTCATTCACTCTTTCACGCACCATCTTCACCATACCACACACACCTTGAATACGACCGAACCAGTTACACACACAAACATACATACGTACCTACCCGAATAGATATAAGCGCAGCTAGAATATTGCCGACGAATTTATCAATGTACAGGAAAACGACATCGTTTGTGTTACATTGTATTAAAACATTTTTGTAAAATTTTTATTTGTAATAAATGAAATGAAAAAGAAAGTCTTACAAGGTGTGTATACCTTAGCGACTTTGTCGTCAAGCAGCCACTGCACAGCGGTGCTCGATGCGTTGGCGAGTGCAGTAAGAGCAGTGCGTTCCCAACCAACATGCTCCCAGTGCTCTGTCATGATCGCTGCGCAAAGCATCGCCGTTGAACAACTGTGAACAAACATTACAAAATCATTGGAATGTTCTTATAGTGAGTAGTTAATTATACTTAACAGTCTATTTCTGCTTCTGTTTCTTTTTCTCTGTTTTCTCGATCTAAGATATTTCATTTAAATATTGTAATGATAAATATATTCAAAAGTATATATATTATACAAAGAGCAACCCCTAGAGTTTCATGCTCATTCTTCTCAGAGGAATCTGCCTTACGAATGGCAGTAGAGTTTAATCAGCACGACAGTTTCAAGTGTAATTAGCTTACCTATGAAATAAAAATTATTTGACTTTTTTTCTGTAGGAATTTGTGTTGCACTATGTAGCTACCTACATAGTGCAACACAAATTCCTAGTATCATAGTACGTCTTGTATTGCAGTGGCAAGTGACTCTTGTGAGTGAGGTGTACTTTGACTCAGTTGTCGATAGTGCTATTTCCAAGAAGACAAAGTGTGTTAAATTTAAATAACGTTATGTGAAATCGACTAGTCCAATCATAGAAATAAATGGAGAAAAGTTAGACCTTGTTAAAAAGTTGTCTTTTTGGGAGTGACCTTAGATAGTAAACTTCAATGATTTCCAGATATATCTTCCTTAGCCAGCAGATTAAGCTCTGCTGCATACGCAGTCCGTAGAATACGTGAGCTTACCGATGTTGCTACTGCTAGGCTAGTTTACTTTAGTTACTTCCATAGTATAATGTCCTACGGGATTCTTATGTGGGGTAAAGCGGCAGATATACAAACCATGTTTGTGTTGCAAAAACGAGCGATTCGTTCTGTGTACCGTTTAGGTTCTCGGGTTTCCCTGAGAGAAAAGTTTAAGGGACTGGTATCATGACTGTGGTATCGCAGTACATTAACTCAAATATTTTATATGCCCGTAAAAATATACATAATTTCGTTAGGAAAAAAGATGTCCATAATATTAACCTTCGAACTAAGTCCAAACTCATAGTATCACGACTTCGTTTAAATTAGGTAAACGATTCTTTTATGGCGAACTGTATACGTTTTTATAATAAGATTCCGGAGAATATATTAAGATTATCATTTCCTAAGTTTAAAACTTACATTAAAAATATTTTAGTTGAAAAGTCATATTACAAAATTGAAGAGTATGTTTTAGATAAAGAAGTATGGAAAGACAACAAGAGTTTAGATTCCACACAATTATGATTCAAAGTGTATTCCATAGCATTTAAGTTTATTTGAAAAGAGCAATTCCTAGAGTTTCTTGCTCGTTCTTCTCAGGGAGGTCAGCATAGTGAACGAACAGTAGCTTAAAAAATGACGTTTTCAAGTGTAAGTGTTTTACATATGGAATAAATGATTATTGGACTTTGCCTATTTTGGTAACTTTCGAGATATTGCCATCCAAAGTTTTTTTTCTCCGAAAATGTCAATTACGCAGATTTTGCTTAACATTAAAACGGAAACTAAACAAGATTTAAAAATACCGTTTATAGGGGGTTGTAAATCTCGTTTCACTGATTCCAGATAATGTGTAACTCAATTTCGCTAAAAAAGTCGAGTACGTTAGTTATGATAAGGAGGGGAGGATAATAGGCGGTATTATGGGTATGGTATTGCCAATTTTACTTTATTTTTTTCCAAGTTCAGATTTACTGTAATAGTGACATGAACCTCCTTTCAAAACCTGAATAGAATAACAAATCGTGTCCGTCCAAATGTTTGTTTTAAGATACGACAAAATAGCAATTATTTTTCGCATTGACGTTACGACTCATTAACAAACCATTATTGAAATCGACAATTTTGTTTTCAAGTGACTGAAAAACAAATAATTCACTCATGTCCGTTCCGAAAATCATTTTCCGAATTAATTAAACAAAGATATTATTAATATTAATTTTCACAACTTCACACAATAAAGTTACGCCCGTTGGAAAAAAGTTCGTGACAAACACACAAAATCGATTAACTCATTCAGCTTTAATAGGCGGTAATTTTTTAAACGTTATGTGATTGATATCAGTTTTTTTGTAAATTGGTCATAGCGTTTTGAGCTACGTCGTGTTATTTTCTGTTGAATTGTGTATATGTTTACATATATTTTTAGGTGAATTTTTGTCCAATGTTTGCCACTATTATTTACGTTTTATGGAAATTAAACTTAAAAAAATTAACAGATTGTGGTGTCACGCATGTGTACTATGGGTTCTTAGTAATGAATTATTGAGTTGATTTCATTTACTACCGTATCATAGTAACACTGATTAAAATATAAGTCGATGTACAGTCTTCTTCTTCTTTTAAATGTAATGGCCCCATCGAAATAATCGACAATTTCGCCAATGTCAAATAAAAATGACTATGTACGGTAGTTTTGTAGAAATAATATAAAAATTTACTTAAACTTGCTAATAGCGGACGCCATTGGCAAGGCCGGTACCTCTCACGAACTCCCATTATATGTACAGTCGATATACTTCAACATCGATTCTCGATTTCACTGATAGTGTTCTGTCACTGGTTCATGAACTTTGACACGTGTCATTCTAATTAAGCTAAATTAGTTTAAATTGTTGAAACTAATTGGGCATGATTCGCCTTAACATTCGCAATAACAAAGACTTAAATATAGTACGCAGATGATATCGTTGCTTTATATGATATTTCCTATTGAAAGTTACGCCTTTAACAGCCTTTAACTTTTGAAGAAAAATTAATATCTAAGATCTGACTGTATGGTTTAGATACCTTAGCCTGTCCCGAAAGATGAAAATTTCACTACTACTCAATCAAAATTTTACGTACTATAATTGGCCAGTAATTTATTTTTCATGCTATAATTACAATGGTATAATAAAGTCACGTGTGATCATATGTCAAAAACTGCTTTTATGACATTAAAATCATAAAAATAATACGAACAAAAACACTCTGTGTTTCAAAGAGTTTTATTAATTGATTTGTTTAATTCGTATTAGAATAGGAACCACACGGCCGCTCCATAGCAACTCTGATCGGAAAACCGAGAGGCGTACGTGACAACATTCGTCGAAGGAAACTGCCTGACACTGAGTGGCCGCTATTAAGGAAATAATAATAATGTGTGAAATTTTATAATTCTCCTATATAAGTACATAAAAGTTATCGCCTAATTTTGTTCGTATAATATTCAAATCTCTCTCCGGAAAAGTTGTCAATTTGCAGATTTGGTCTTATTACACTGAGGGTGCCAATTCTTGGTCATAAATATGTTGATGGAAGCGCTATTATAAGCCGCGTAGCAATAAACTGCACGTAGCCGTTGCTACAACGACGTAGCAGACTTCATGTCAATGGTGCTACGATATTTCTCATAAACAGCGTCGAATATCAGTACGCATAAAATACAATAACAATAACAATAACGAACACACTCAACATAGCACCGCACTAGGGAAACCCTGTGTCGCGGGTGCCATGGACACACACATAGACAACCACAAATTACACCCAAACTCACGCGAGAAACAAATGTAGGCAATACAAATATTTCTCCCGGCCCGGGAATCGAACCTGGAACCAGGCAGTCCGGCCTGGTAGCCGTTCGGCCACAGAGGCAGTTAAATAAAATAAAATAAAAAGGTATTTATTTCTCCACAAAACATAAGGAACACAATACTTAAATAAACGAATAGAAAAAAAAACTGAGTGATGTGGACAAAAAGGTTAAAAACTCAGCATTGCTGATTTTCAGTCTTCACCTAGCTAGCTGTTCTCTTGCTGCACCAAGCTAATATGCGGAGTGTACACTAGTGATAACCTACCTTTAGTAATAACTAGTAATAAGTTAAACTTGAATGGCTTTCCATGTATATTTATATATATTTTTCATACATTTAAATTTAAAAAAGGAGTTTTGATTGAGGACCAGTTGTTACTAGATTTTTGTACAGATAGGACCCATTGCTTACATCGGTTTTTAAAAGTAAACAACGTTTTAGCGTTTTTCATTGGAGGTGGAAGGTCATTCCAGTTGAGTTTTTGGGCCAGATACTTATGAGTCGACGAAACACTCAAGGTACACACCAGACAGTTTATTTTAAAATATATCTATTTCTCATATTTATGGTAGTATAACATGCCAAGACCATGGCAGTATCTATAATTAAAAACAATGATTAAATCTCTATTTACATTGCCGTGGAACGGTGGTGGAAGGGGAAGCTTTGTAATGAAATTGTACATGCCATAATTAATTTTACGACTATTATATAGGTAATGTGCGGAATGCGAGTGAATTTTCCGAAAGACGCGCGACCTATTTTGGCTCGTATCTTATACGTTACACAATTGACAAATTTATTATGCTATGGTTACCAAAATTAATTTCCATTGTAAACTGCGTCTAACAATAACAAATAAAACACAATGCCATTAGTTGTATTGATAGTGTTTTAGATTTTGTCTGGTAATAGGCAGTTATTTGTATGATTCAGTACATCAGAGCTGAAATGACATTCCGTAATAAGTAGGTCAGCGACATGTACCATTGTACTTATCGTATTCTCATATTTTATTCAGTCACTAATGACTATTCACTGTAATGACGATCTTGTTTGTTGAAAGTAAATCTATATGATTTTATTATAGTTGGGTAAATTTCAACAGGTTGTGACTTTTGTAACATTTCAATGTTTTTAATAATTTATTTTTTTAATATAAATAACATCTGTTTTAGGCAAGGGTTTTAGGCCATGGTCCGCCACTTTGGCCCAATGCGGGTTGGGGACTTCACATGTCTTTCGAGGATCGTGAAGCTTCTTCAACGTGCACGCATCACAATGCATTCCTTTAACAAAAAGCTCATGGTAAATTTAAAATTAAATTTGGTACCTAAACCCCGAGGAACTTAGAGGTGCGAGCTCAGATTCGAACCTACGATCAGCGGTGGAGAGGCAGTAAGTGAAACCATTAAGCTACCACGGTTTTTAATTAATATAATAGGACACATTTGTATCACAAGGAATACTAGCTTGCAGTG